ACGGACACTCAGTGCTATTCTGTTTGTCTTCATTACGACATGGCTACCATATAACATCATGGTGTTGGTCAACACTTTCTGTCAGGACTGCATCCCTGGGACTCTTTGGGCATTGGGCTACTGGTTGTGTTATGTGAACAGCACAATCAACCCCATTTGTTATGCCCTCTGTAACAAGACTTTCCGTACAACGTTTAGGGATATTTTGATGTGCCAGTGGAATCAGAGGAAAAACAAGTCTCTTTTTCAACAAAAGAATGCAGTTGCTTTCCGGAAGAAAGACCCAATGTAAAGGGCGAGGGTAAATTATTAGTTGGATCTGTATTTGAATCCATTTCCAGAGTTGCGAAGCAGAATACATGCCTTGTGTTTCAGGAAAAGGACGCTGAATTGAATTGGCCTTACAGAAAGTTTTGTCACGTTAGCAGAGGGGTCTAGGGCTGGTCTGTTTCGGCTTAGGTCTGTCCATGATACCGGAACATTGACAGCTGCTGGTCAAATTTGAAATGGATATTAATAATCCTCAGAGGATCATTCCTAATATATTGGTGACCACCTGATGCTGAGTACAGCATCACTTCAAAAGTATTACACTGAGCACAAACAATTTCATATCTCAAAAACAAATCACTGGATTCCAAGTTGTCAATATTCATGGTCCTCAGAGTATGAACCCCAGGGCTTATGGTGGCCCTCGCCTTGTTTCTAGTAGGGCGGTAAGTATACAGCTACTATTAAATATGCTGACAGGATTAGAAACAAATTTACAGAGCATTGTCATCATCCTAGAGGATAACACATTTCCATTTTAGGGCACTCGTTTGAGCTCAATGCAAGTGTCTGCTTCAGGCCCATAATTTAATCACATTTAATCTTAAAATTCAGCTTGAAGTTTGAAGGATAAAAATGTTCTAGACCTCGAGTTTAATTAATTGTGCCGTCCACAGGATGGACTTGTAACTCTGGGCCTGTGTTTATTTTAAAAGGGTTTTAGACAAGCTTTGCGAAAGTGATGTATTTGATTCCTTCCTTGCTGTGCTGTGAATAATGGAATGATGGTTTGGTGTGTTTTAGGAAGTGGATTTCTTCTTCTTCCTCTTTTGGATTAAGAGCTTTGTGGAATTATTTGTCAATATGAAAGCAGCCCGGCTTTTATTTGTTTTTAATACCGATGTTACCGGGGCAATTTAGAGCTCAGCTTACACATGTGTTTGGTTTTCGTTGTGGTTTTTATGATTGTAAATAGAGTTTTAAGTTTCTGCATTCTGTGAAAATGGATAAGTCACAAATAAGTAAAATTATATCAACATGTTTTTCAAGATTACTTGAAAAACATGGGCAGAACATACACATAGAATCAATCATTTTTCTGATGGATTTGATTGAGAATTTATTGTATATCAAAATATTGCCTTGAAAACAAATGATAATCAGGATGTTAGCTATAGCATTGAGTCAGTTGCCAGTTGATTAGGTGCACCTAACTAATTAGTTGAAACTATTTTAAAGATGTGTTAAATCATCTTCATAGTAGTGTTATTCACACAACCTGTGCTGATGTAATGGAGTTGGATAGGTGGTAGTTAAGCCTACCAAAAAAACTTGACTACTACTCATCGGTGTAGTTTAGTGAAGAGAGACAGTGAAGAGCTGTGACCTCCAGTGTTTTGTCACCTGATTAAAATTCTGTTCAGAGGACATTCGCTGAAAGAAACTCTATTTACATAACACCTTTCATAACACAGTTTCAAGGTGCTTTGCAAAATAGAAGATGGAAAATTGAAGGCAAACAATTGGAAACAATTGAAAAACACACAATAAGAAGCACTTTAAATACAAGATAAGCAAAGATGATAACATGATCAAATAAAACACAATTAAATGATTAAAAGATCAGAGCGAGGAGAATGCACACCTATAAAAGTTTCTTTTAAGTGAAATTTAAAAAGGCAACGGTGA